GATATAGCTCGCTAGCAGCCTCGCACCGAGGACCTATCCACGTCATCATTTACCCAGAATGCTTTGTGTGTAAATAAAATGGCTCCGTCCGTGTAATATTTTTAAACTTTTTAGTTAAAAAATGATAAAAACTGAACATCCTACAGTATTTTTACAGTCTTTATTTTACAGTTAAAGCATGTTTATCATATAAAGTCTAATGTTATAAAGTGAAACCAAGATTTCTAGCAGAGGTCTGACAAAACCGAGCTAAAGGACCAAGAATCTGATCTAAATTTGTAGTCTGGAATTTTTGACCAAATAATATAACTCGAGTTTTACTTTGATCCAGATGAAGTTCTGTTCCATCCAAGATTTAACTTCAGTCAAACAGTCTGTCAATAGCTGAAGGGATTCATTTGTACCGTTTTGTAGCTTAAGGAGCATATAAATCTAGACGTCATCCACAAAGCAGTGAAAGGAAATATTGAATTTATGAAAAATCTGTCCAAGAGACAATAAATATAAGATAAATAAAATAGGACCTAAGATTGAACCTTGGGGAACGCCGTGTTTTAAAGGTTTAGCCCCAAAACAGCATTGGTCAAGATGAACGGCGAAAGTTGTTTGATAGTTTTGCCTTACAACAAGTGTTCTGCTTCTTTTAGCTTTAAATATTTCAGTTTAAACTTCTTCAGCAAAGTTATTCATTATATAAAAAATGCAATTTTTCTTGGTTTTATTGTTTCCTGTATGTATGTTAAAGAGACAAATGAATAAATTTGTCTTACGTGTGTTCTGTGTTGCCTTCAGGTACATCATGACCAGTGGCAGGACGATGGAATCGACTGAGAAGTTTTTCTCCCAGCACAACTACTTTGGTTTGGAGAAGAACAATGTGGTGTTCTTTCAGCAGGGCATGCTGCCAGCAATGGACTATGATGGCAAGATCATCCTAGAGAGCAAAGGGAAGCTCTCCATGGCTCCTGGTAGGCCCTCAGCAGCATCAGTGAGTTCAAAAGTCTCACTTAATTTGTTGTTTAAAACACTAATTTTGTTTTCCAGATGGTAATGGGGGTCTTTACAGATCACTTGGGAATCAGGGCATCTTGGACGACATGGAGCGAAGGGGAATCCAGCTCATTCATGTTTACTGTGTTGACAACATCCTGGTGAAAGTAGCTGATCCAGCTTTTGTTGGGTTTTGTGTGCAGAAGGGAGCAGACTGTGGAGCTAAGGTTGGTCCCTTTTATTTTTTCTCTTTCTGAGTTTTAACCAATAACAACACGAGGCTGAAGTGCTGCTCATCAACAAACACCAAGAATAACCACAAGCACTTTATGAACCTACCCTCAGTATTGGTCCATAGGCCAGAGGAAAAATTAGTATCAAAATAGGAACGAAAACATTTTATTTGTGTTTAGATACACCCAAAGTATTGAATAAAATATATAATGGCCATTTCAGTTTGGCAGTGTTGGACGCAATTTTTATTTTTTAAGAAGCATTAAATACAGAATAACATGGAATCCCAGTAATCTACTAAGAAATGCAGTAAAATTTGTTGAGAATGAAATAAAATAGTCAGAACCATGTGAAAAATAAATGTGTATGTTCTGAATAAAAATTCTGTAGCTTGTTTTCAGCCGATTACAATAAATATGGTAAAATGACTTAGGAAAGCCACAAACATTGTAAAACCTCCTTGTACACAGGTCACTGTGTGTTCCAACTGCTGCCATCAGGCAGGAGGTTCAGGAGAATTAAAACAAAGACAAACATTTAAAAATACCTTTTACCCCAAATACATCAGAGTYCTAATGCATGTTGAAAACAATGTGCAATGCAAAATAACCCATGTTTTAGTAATCATTGTGCAATATTAAAAACCCTTAAATTTGAAATGGTGTGTTTTGCTGTATATGTGTTTCTTACTACAACATAAGTCAGTGGTGTTCAATTAAAAGTCACTGAGTTGCAGTTACTAAAATTTCTTCCTTGTAAAGGGTTCAAACAAAAGTTTTTTGTGGTCTTGCCTGCCCATAGTTTCACATTTTCACTGTTGACAAACTGCTCTTTAGTAAGCAACTAGCAGGACATCATCTGCTAATAGTTCTGGTWTTCTGATTGCTGTTGAAGCTGATATAAGGGTTTATTTTTTTCATACATTTTGCATTTTTGTTTTCCATCAAATCTTGTCTCAGCAACAACATTTAAACATTATTTCACGATTGTCCTTTTACTAAATGTTTTATATGTTTCCCCAAAATCTGAGACTTTGAGTGAACCCAGGTCCTTCTCAAAATAATATCATATTGTAATAAAGTTCATTATTTTCTGTAATGTACTGATAAACATTAAACTTTCATATATTTTAGATTCATTGCACACCAACTGAAGTAGTTCAAGACTTTTATTGTTTTAAAATTGATGATTTTGGCAAAAAAGTAAAGAAAAACCAAAAATCCCTATCTCAAAAAATTAGCATATTTCATCCGACCAATAAAAGAAAAGTGTTTTTAATACAAAAAAAGGTCAACCTTCAAATAATTATGTTCAGTTCTGCACTCAATACTTGGTCAGGAATCCTTTTGCAGAAATGACTGCTTCAATGTGGCGTGGCATGGAGGCAATCAGCCTGTGGCACTGCTGAGGTGTTATGGAGGTCCAGGATGCTTCGATAGTGGCCTTAAGCTCATCCAGAGTGTTGGGTCTTAAGCTCATCCAGAGTGTTGGGTCTTAAGCTCATCCAGAGTGTTGGGTCTTAAGCTCATCCAGAGTGTTGGGTCTTAAGCTCATCCAGAGTGTTGGGTCTTAAGCTC